ATGCCTAGCAGTTTCACACGTTTTAGAAGTTAATTCACAGCAAATGATTTTAATCATGAACAGAAAATACAGCTTCAATACAGATTCAATGCAGCTTTATATGGCTGCAAATGATCTTAGATGAAGAAATAAATGTCTTTTCTAGTGAAAAAAAAATCATTTTCTAAATAAATAAGAAACCGAAGAGATCTAGTAGGCTGGTACAGTGTCAGTAGCTAATGAAGGTAAACAGAAGTCGTTTGAACTGCAGCAGGTCACCTTGACTAAATGCATTGAGTTGCTGCCATGTGATAGGCTGATTTGCATTGACAAGCAGTTAGACAGGTGTACCTAATAAAGTGGCCAGTGAGTATATATATATATATAGAAGGGATGCTCCGATCAGGATTTTTGCAGTCGATACTGAGCACCGATTTCATTTTATGGGGATTAGCCAATACCTAGTACCAATTCGGATTCTTCAAGCTTTATATAATTTTGCCATTGCATAAGCACAATTTCTCTTTAAGTATGAGATATCGCCTTACCTAACATAATAAATTAGGGTGTTCAATATATGTAATAGTCAGAAGCAGCTTTACAAACAAATTTGGTAAAACATAAAAAAAACAAAAAAAAAACAATGTAATTTGGAAAAATTGCTTATGTGTTGTAGCACTGCTGATGCAAAACCCAGGTACGCACGTTCAAGACTGTTTAGATTACGGGTTTCCAAACTTTCTTAGCAAGGAACCCCAAAATAGCAATGCCAGTGACTTGCAACTTGCAATATGCTCTGAGGTCGTTATACACATACAAATCTTGCAAACCCAACACAGAGACCAATAGGTCAAAGTGTATTCTTGTTTAAATTTTGGAGAACGCCACTCAGAGATCATCCACATTTTATGTATGTAAGTGATGTCAAACTTTAACTTGGTGCCATAAAATCAATCTGCAGCATCTGACACTACTGCTGTGTCTTTAATTTAACGTAATCACCCCAGGGCTCACAATACATGTATGTTGTTTATTTTTAATGTAACTAACAACTATGCATAAAATATGCTAATTCTAATCATTTAATTAAATGAATTAGGTTTTTGGAAAGCACCAAGCAACCCCCGGTCGTTTCCGCGCGACCCCTCAAGGGGTCCTGACTAGGGCTTGACATTAACTGTCAAATGCAGGTAGACTTCTGCTGTGGCGGGTTAGACAGCCATCCTCACAAGCCAATTTAGCTAGTAGCTATTGTAGTTTTCTTAAAAATCAGAGTTCAAAAATAAAGATTATCCAATGAGAGGCCAGCGTGAGAGATGACAATAATATCTGTGTTCGCGTGAGCAAAAAAAAAATGTAATACCAAAAAAGAGGATGATCAGGTGCCCCAGACAATCCTCGCTCACTGATGAAGGCTTCAGTGTCATACTCACAGCTGATTTAAAACACGCGAGTGTTTAAACGTTTAGAAAAGAAACCGTTCCTCGCATGAAGCATCCGTGCCTGGAAATGTAACTGGTGCAACCAGCTCTCTTTAGTAGTAATATATGTAACAAAAAGTGATGCTTGTGTATCCACAGTCCTATTGCCTTCAAGAGCTTTTTTTAATGTATTTTTGTAAGCAGCAGCAGTTGCTGCTTTTGCTTTAACGCAAGGGTGTCAAACTCAGTTCCAAAAGGGCCGAAGCCCTGCACAGTTTAGTTTCAACCCTGCTCCAACACACTTACCTGTAGGTTTCATACAAGCCTGAAGGACTCAATTAGTTTGATCAGGTGTGTTTAATTAGGGTTGGAACTAAACTGTGCAGAGCTGCGGCCCTTTTGGAACTGAGTTTGACACCTGTGCTTTAACGATTCTTAGAATAGAAATATATTTTTCCAACAACAAAAGTGTGACTAGTGAAAATGGCGAGTGGCAAGTAATGTTGGAAAACTACTAGCCACAGTGGCTGGTGATCAAAATAGTTCATGTCGAGCCCTGGTCCTAGACCCCCACTTTGGGAACCAATGGTTTAGATCAGGGGTTCCCAAACTTTTCAGCCTGTGACCCCCAAAATAACAATGCCAGTGACTCGCGACCCCCAAAATCCTCTAAGGTGGTTATAAATACAGAAAGCTTGCATGCAGTGGCGGGCACACACCAGTAGACCCAAGTCTATTCTTCGTTTAATTTTTTTTTATGTATGTCAGTGCTGTAAATGTGCCAGAAAGTTTAACCTGGTATTATAAAATCAATCTGCTGCATCTGCATCTGTGTCTTTAATATAATGTAAATACCTCAGGGGTCGCAATCTAATAGAACTAGTAACTATAAGCTACTATAGTAACTATATAGTATAGTAACTATAAACAACTATCTTATTTCAGTAGGTTATGGATAAATATGGTCATTCTACTGGTTTAATAAAAATAGATTTTTGGAAATCACCAGACGACCCCCTCTTCATTGTCCCACAACCCCCACTTTGAGAACCACTGGTTTAGATAATGATAAAAATAAAGACGTTTATAGTATGAAATCACTAAATGGCTTTAAACAATCACTAAATTCCCTACAGAATCATTTTCAAACACACATATACAAATAGCATGTAAACGCATCACATCTTAATACTCACTACACTTAAGGAACTTCTAAATGGGCTACTTTTTTACTCATACTTTGAGCAATATTTACAACAGATTCTCTTACTCGCACTACATTTTTGGGTACTTTTACTTAATGTACAAGTAAAAGTATAATTTCTCAGTACTCTTTACACCACTGATTATAAGTGATTTGATAAGTGAAATGCATTCATTCATTCATTTTCCTTCCGCTTAGTCTCTATTTCAGAGGTAGTCAAAGTGGAATGAACCGCCAACAATTCCAGCATATATGTTTTACGCAGCGTATGCCCGTCCAGCCACAACCCAGTACTGGGAAACATCCTTACACACTCATAAACTAGCTTGCATGGTTTGGATCTGTAGAGCTGCGCATCGATGGATTTGCCCATTCATTCATTCATTATTTATTTATTGCCATGTCAGCTACTAAGGCTATTTTCATGGCAAGAGCATTTCAGTAATTAACAAACATCAACAGTAAAGAATAAATAATTGAATGTACAGTTCAAATAAGATTTTTCTGCCGAATACATGTTAAAAATTCTAATACTTTTTCTGGTGTCACTTTGTTAAAAAGTGTCCTTAAGGGAGTTCTCATCATAAAAAGTCTTTCTGGAGTCATTAAAAGCAGGGCAGTCCAGTAAAATGTGTTTTACAGTCCATGAGGTTTAACAGTGTAAACATAGGGTAGGGTCTTCATCTTTGAGTAAAAAGTTATGTGTTAATCTTGCATGTCCGATAAGAAATCTGGTAAAAATTCGATGGATTTGCTCTTCAGTGTTTGGACTCTCAGTAGTAATTATTAAACCACACTGAACTGAGCTAAACTGAACTGAACTTAAACTCTGAAAACTGAGCTACACTGTTTCAATTTACTATGTTTTTTTTATGTGAAGCTGCTTTGACAAAATCTACATTGTAAAAGCGCTATACAAATAAAGGTGAATTGAATTGAATATTCACACACACACACACACACACCCATACACTATGGCCAATTTAGTATCCAATTCACCTATAGACCTTTTTCTTGGAACGCAAAATTACCCATTATGCTTTGCGTGTATGCGCAAGGAGAATGCGAAGAACTTCCGGTCGGCAGCTGATGCGTGTAAACAGTCACATTTGGACAGCTTTGAAACGTTAGTTTTAAGCTATTTTACCTGCTTTTATCCTCTTTGAACTAATACTGTTGTCCATCAGCACCATCTCCTGGACTGATCATTTAAAGAAATGCGATCTAATAGGATGGAAAACAGCTGCTGTGAGGCATTTTCCCCTCGTTGTCAGACGGCATCTTCTGCAGTTTAAATGAAGCCTTGTCATCGCTAAAGTCAACATTTTCTCTTTATTTCAAATATATAACCAGCCCAAACAAATGTAGTTCACCAAAATGTTTGACACACACAAGTAGCCTGTACTGTGCCACTAATACACTGATTTAATAACTGTGACAAAGTGAAAATATAGGCTAGTGTCATTTCGAAATGACAGAAAAACACAAACGGTGGTGAATACAACACACGAAAAACACAAACGGCTCGCGATTAAAATGAACAGCAAATCAGCCAGCAGAGGATCAGTAACAGACTTTTATTGGTCATTTTTGTAAATTGCACGACTTTCATACCTGTTAAGTTTCATGCCAGTACTCTGGTTTGCTCTCTCTCTCTCTGTGTGTGTGTGTGTGTTAAAGAGCCGCTGAGCTAATAGCTGACAGGCCAGGAACACACACATACACTGTTATTTCTGACGGCAGACACGTAAACTAGGAGAACGTTTTTCTCGTATTTCTGACGCGCTTGACCCACAAGTGACAGATTATAACGCTTTAACAGACACATTTCTAAGTTGCGTGTCACAAAAACACTCTGTTATCCATTAAAAACGTTATTGAAACCCATTTTCGGAGCGCAAATTACCAGTTGTACAGGCTGTGAACAGAAGTTTTTAGCATTCTACCGGAAGACGCTGGTCGCTATGGCGCCCTCCATGCAGCAGCCATGAAACAGGTCTATAGCGCATATCTTTGGACTGTGGGGGAAACCGGAGCACCCAGAGGAAACCCACGCCAACACAGGGAAAACATGCAGACTCCACACAGAAATGCCAACTGGCCCAGCCAGGACTTGAACCAGTGACCTTCTTGCTGTGAAGTGACGGTACTAACCACTGAACCACCATGCAACTATAAGTGAAATTGTGTGGAGAAATCTAACTGGTATATTGCAAGTGATAATATAATCGCCCATCCCTAGTGAGTAAACCAACAGAAATTAGGACATTTTCAGTCTGGAAGTGAACTGGAAGTAAGGGTGACCTTCTCAAGTGCATCTCCAAAAAACAAACTACAAAAAAACAGTGCATTTTGGTTAAAATGTAAAGCAAAGAATAAAAAAGCCCATCACCTACCGTGGTTGTTTTTGTTGTGCACAGGTGTGTAGTGGTTCTTGGACGTCCGCACAGGTGTGTTCTCTTTAGGCGAGGTGTCAATAGCGCCGATGTTTTCATGCTCGTACTGTGATATGGGAATAGGCCCCTGCTGTCGCAAAATATCCGCCAGCGCTCTGCACAAAAACACACACACACACACACACATTAGCCCAAGATCATTTCGCTGCTCTCCAGAAAGCAAAAACACCATCCAAATCAGGTTAAGGTTGAAATAAAAGCTTGTTTCATCCAGCTTAAAGATACAAACACAGCACCCCTCCCCCAAGAGGCTTTGCCAATTTGCGCCGTTTAGGCTATTGTTTGTTCGCAGAGGTTGCATTTCTTACACACACACACACACAACCACACACACACACACACACACACACACACACAGTTTAATTGCGCTTTGTGTTGTAATGAAGAGTAGAGGTTTGGTCTCTCAGGTTTTCTCCACCTCAGGCCTGTGAGCTCCACAGCTACAAACAAAGGCCATTAATCAATGTTCCTCTGCAATATGGCGTTAGAGCAACACACGCCACCTACACTCGCCTAATGGGATTCAAATTCTATTAATGTTTCTGCTCTTTGGCCCGAAGGACACAGTTTTCTGACTCCAAACCCGAACGCCTGTGGTCGGTGATTCTGAGAGCTGGAGTTAATGGTATTTTAGCACTAATGTCGTTTTTTTTTTTTTTTTGGGAGAATGTCATGTTATGTAGGACTTAACTTTCTTTTATTTTACTGCATGCAAACATTTATACTGTAGAATGGCGTTGGCTTTGTGGTTAAAGATCAAATGTGGTGAACAAATAGGTTGCAGATTATCAGATCAGAATAATAGGTTGTTATTGGCGTACATTTTCATCTTGCACCAGGATTTGATGTAGATTCAAAAGTCTGCACTATGGACATGAATAAGCAAGATTGTGAATAAGACAAAGTTAAATTTTAGTAAGTAAAAGACAATGAATGCAAGGGTAGAAACCTTTTAACCCTTTCACGTTTGAGATTTAAACACTACAGCTGACCCTCCTGCATGAGAATCCACTGCATTCTAAAGTTCCCATGGCGATGTGTCAAGTTTACATTTAAGATGACCCACCAGCCCCAATGATCTATACAGTTGAAGTCAGAATTATTAGCCCCTCTAAATTATTAGCCCCCCTGTTTATGTTTTCCCCTAACTTCTGTTTAACGGAAAGATTTTCCCAACATTTCTAAACATAACAGTTTTAATAACTCATTTCTAATAACTGATTTATTTTATCTTTGCCATGATGACAGTAAATAATATTTGACTAGATATTCATGAAGATAAACAACTGCCAAAGTCAAAACCAAGGATTATCACACCAAGGATGATCACACCGGTGTGATCATGCACGAGAAATGGTTAATTGGATCATGCAGGTTTAAAGATGGGATTTTTTGCAACCCAAGCTCATTCTGGAAACGTAGCCCCGCGGACGTTTCTGGAGATCGCGATTTACGTGGCTGGAAGTACGTAAAGGCCGCGTTTGGGTTTTTTTGAGCGAACGCTGCGGGGTGGTGTGGCGCCGCTCCGCCCCTCCTCTTCGCGCTCGCCGGCCGACGGCTCGCCTCCGAGTGGAGGGCTTTCCCGACGCAATCAGTTTGTCCGCCTAGCTCACAGCGTTGCGTCGGCGGAGCGGAGGCCCCAGACGAGGAGGAGGAGCCAGAGCCGGCCGTGGTGGACGACGACCGGGATCAAGTCCGGGGAACGGCGGGTTCCGGAAATCAGGTAAGACGAAAAACGGAATCCAGAAAATGAGGGCGAGAACGCGGCGGGATCCGAAAACGCGGTCGAAATCGAAGACGAGGGCTTTTGCTTTTTTTTTTTTTGTCCCGATCCGGCGGCTTTTCGCGCGAGAACGGTGCGGGCGCGAACCGACAAATCAGCACCAAAACAAATCCGACAAATCCGCGAAAACAAAAAAACGCTCAAATACATATCTCCCGGGACGTAAATCGCGGTCCGCAGAAACGTCCGCGGGGCTACGTTTCCACAATGAGCCCGGGTTGATTTTTTGGCTTCACTGCCAAAAAATTAACCCTTTTTGTTTTCCAAAAATTCATATCCAGAACCATTTTTTTTTTTAGTTTATAATAACATTAATCAAACTGTAAGATTATACCAATATGAAAAAAAAATACATAAACAGATCCAAATTCTATTAACAAACTAAATCTTTAAAATAAAATAAATATATTTTACTATTATGGATGGATGGATGAATTTCAAAGAAGTAGTGAAATTTGTACAGATGCAGAACCATATTCCATAGCTTGAAGAACATTTAAAAAATGTTCCATTGTAAAGAATGTCTCGTGGAATGAAAATGTATCCTGAATGTTATAGGTTATTAATGGAAACACTGATTACAATAAAGAACAATTATTTTTAGAAGGGTATATGTGGTGGTAAACATAAAAAGATCTAAAGGGACTAGGGGTGTAACGGATTACACTTGATCCGTGATTCGTACAGATCACTAGCTGCGGTTTGGAACATAGGTGTCCTGCGGATTAATAAATTTTTTTACTTGTCGTGTAGATAAATCTTAGATTTGTAAAGATCACAGAGATATCACCTCTCGCGTCATTCAAACACATGTAAAGCATTTAGGCTTTCCAGTAAAATACAATGATGACATAAGGAGTTGTGGTGGGTTATTCGGGATGTGGTGGGTTTCTTAGGCTATTATTAAAAGATCGGGATCTTAACACCTACGCAACATAATTTATAAATTATGGTGATTTGCATGATTATTAATCATAAGAGATTCAGTCTTTAGTATTTTAAATTAGTTATGAAGTTACATAACAGTCAAATAACACAAAAGTACTGGGATAGCAGTTTATAGTTTAGTTAAAATAACTGATGTTTAATATAAAGATTAAAATCACTGTCATATGCAGTTGATAACACTCAAAAATGAAAGTTGTAGGCAGCAGTTACGCTATTTAACAATCAGTCATCAAAAATATGCCACTGAATAATTCTTCACAAATGACGCATCTTGCAATGAAAAATGAAGTTTTATGAGTGCATAACAAAATAATTAATTGTAAATGAGACTAAATATACATGTAAATATACATTTTATACTAAATATATACATTTAGCATTATCAGCAACAGTAGTAGTAACAGTGAATTTTTCACAATACTGAATATTTTACTATTTATTTTTATTCAACTGATTATTTCTTCATTTTATTTTTTATAAAATTCCAGAAAAGATCTGTTTGTTAAAACCAAAGGTTTATTGTAGTGCTGTTTTGTAATAAATGGAAAGAAAATTACATTTGTCTCCTCCCCTTTTTGGCTGATCCGAAAATGGTCCAATCCATGACTAAAAAAGCTTTATGGCATCTGAACTGTGAGATTTGTGATCCGTTACACCACTAAAGGGGACACCACTTTTAAAATAAATGATCAAATAAAATGCTGGGTTCTCAACACAAATTTTTGTAAAATACAGACAAATTACAACAAATTAACCCAACAGTTTGTCCATATTTGTGTTGAAACACATTAATAAAGTGTACCAAAAAGGATTACTAAAATATTTATTAAATAATGATTATTTTTTATATTTATTATTACTTTTTAGAAAAGCAAATTAAATTAATTCATGTTCTAATTACTTTGGCTGATAATATATATACATATATATATATATATATATATATATATATATATATATATATATATATATATATATATATATATATATATATATATATATATATATATATATATATATATATATATTTTTTTTTTTTTTTTTTTCTATGAATTAATAAATACATTTATTTTAGTAAATTGGTATATTTAACAATTTCATCATTAACTGTAAATGTAAGCGTACAATGCGAGTGTATATTTAATGTTCTATTATTTTAAACATGACTTTCACAATTTATTTCATAGTACAGTATTTATGACTTTAATTGATTTGAAGAGACACCGCTTAAAATATAAACAACCCACAAAATACAGACAAACAAGCATAATTAAACGCAACAGTTTGTCCAAATTTGGGTTGAAACACACTTATATAGTGTAACGAAACAGATAAAGAGGAGGGGGGGGGTATTTCTAACGTTTCTTTAGTTATTTTTACTTTTTAGAAAAGCTAATTTGAATTATTTGATGTTCACATAATTTCAGCTGATAAAATATAACTTTTATCACTACAACTATGAGTCTATTCATTAATTAACTGATTTAATTTAATAAATACATTAACATTTCAGCTAATGAATTACACTTTTTTAACTGTAAAATTAAGTGTTTTGCTATTGCTGGTTTGCGTCTGGAAGCACAACCGTGGCGTAAAATATATGCAGGATTAGTTGGGGGTTCATTCCACTGTGGTGGCCTCTGATAAATAAAAATAAAAAATGAATAAATTAATTTAAGTGTACAATGTGAGTGCATGTTTAAAGTAATGTTCTATTTTTTAATCATGAATTTCACTATTCATTTTTACAGTCCAGTATAAATTACACGCAGCTAAAGAACAGAACTTTTTAATGTTTATTCAAACTATAGCGAGTGCCAGAAAAGTTCATAAATGCTTATTCGGTGGCTGACAAAAGGTAACAGCAGGTCAGATCATCAGTTCTCATGGCCTGCGATCTCCAAGTGGCGAGATCCAGCAGACCCGGAGGCCATGTTTCCTCACTTGAGGAAGCCTGAAATGGCGTCTTAACTGTGTCAATGTCAGCGCATTCGCTCTGCCTCACGGTCCACATCTCTGAGCGCGCCCGAGACAGATAGAAAGAAAGAGAGAGAGAGTGTGTGACTTTGGAAGGATGTATAATTAGTCTTTCCCTTCCAGGAGAAGGCCTTTTTTAACAGAAGTTCTCCTCACGTGGGGGCGACCTGGTTTCACTGCCCCAGTTGGCTGTAAGGCTCTGAGCGCAGCTCCACTGTTCCACCTTCTGCAGCTCAAACACTGCAGGACTGGGACACTTTCAGGCCCGCGGCCGGCCTGCGCCAACCTGCTGGACCGAGCGCTTTTACTTTAGCTTCTCCATGCCACCTTTAGCTCCTTCTGAGGTTATATACGAGAGTTCAATGATTAAAAAACGTGACCCTGGAC